AGAATCCATTTTTCCTTCTTGTGCTCCCAAATCATTATGCGGACATGCATTTACAACTTTTAGAACTCTAAAACGTATGTGCGCAATGTTATAGACACACGATGATTTGTAGGTACTTCATTTTTTACCACAATATTTCTGACAATGACATTTTTAAACTGCGAAGTTTTTGAACTGTTTTATTTTTGACCACAATGTTTTAGAAATGCGATGTTTTTTCTTTGCTTTCTTTTCTCCCATAATGTTTTGTACAGTCAAGAGTCGTTAATCCGGACTCGTCGGGACTTTGGCGATTCCGGATTATAGATCATCAGTTTAAATGGCATGCAGAAATTATAAAATTAAAAATATGAAACTTTAATTTACGAAATAAAGAACAATTATGATCTAAAGGTATCAAAATTTACACCACACACAAAAAAAAAAAAAAAAAAAAGCTTAATATTTATTTGTTTGCTTTACTTTCTTTGCTATCGGAAGCGAATTATAATGACGAGGAATTTGATTTAAATCATATCAAAGACGGAGTACATCGAGATGAAATACTACATTTAGTAAGGAATAATAAGCCAAATAAAATAAAAACATCTGCCCTGAAGATAAGGATAGTGCCGACAGATCAACTTCCAATTCATTGCGCGACAGATCAACTTCCAATTCATTGCGCGCCGCAGCGTCCCCCCCGCTGCAGAGCAGCGTCAAATTGATAAACAGATTTCGGAATGGTTAGATAAACAAAGGATATGCCTTTATCCATTTGTTGCAGCAATTCCACTTTTTGTTTAATGGACTTTGAAACATACTTTCGCTTTGCAGATCCTTTACGTATTAGTAAATATATATCGGAAATTCTATTTGACATAATCGAAAGTTCAAGCTTACTTTTATAAAATTGCTCTAACAGTCTGCAAAAAATAATAAGCTGGATTCAATTCAAAGATTAAGGAACAACGCAATCTGCAACATTAACTGAATTAGAAAATTTTAGCTTAGCTTATACTGTCCATTATACATTAAACGCACATGCATAAACATATTTTGGGCATGCGCACACGCATATTCGCCGCCGTAAAGGTCTTATGCGCATGCGCAGAAAGTTTGTAGCTTTGATGTCCGGATTATAGATCATTCCGGATTATGGGTGTCTGAATTAACGACTTTTGACTGTATTAATGCATGTTCTAGTAATGTTCTGTAAGATAGTTCAGTTTTGTCTGTTTTATAAATTTTGTATAGGTTGTAGTCACTTTGCAACCCAAGTAAAACATCTTTTATTCAACAGCATTTTATAGCTTTATGGCTTGAAACAATTCTAGAAAAGGAATTTCAACATTTAAATAACTTATATTTTACTCACATTATAAATTTAGCATATAACAAATTTTAAAAAAATGCTTCATCAAGTGATTTGTACAGTTTAAAAATTATTGTTTCTAGGCAGCATAGACTGCAAGCATAATCAACGTTTTCCTTGCATTCTTCTTCAGCTACAACATTGTTTCCATTAAAAGACTTTTAACATCCGGTAATGCTAAGAAGTATTTCATGAATATTTTTATAACTCTCTGTGACTATAATATATCTATCCCAAAGGAAAGATTTTGAATGTGGAAACCCAATACCTGGGGTACAGAAGTCGCAATCTACCTCCTATCAGCTGGTATTTGAGAAGAAATTTTCATTCATTTACAATGCTACTACAGGAGTGATTAATCTTAAGATAAGAAAATTCTGCTCTCTGTAGTTCACTGCTGACAAAGAACTTCGAAAACAGTATCTTGCAGGTACAGGGACCAGATGTAAGAAAATTTTAATCAAATCTATTTTACTGAAACACTACATACCTGAAAAACCACAGTGCACAATATGTTAAATGAATGAACTATGAAAAACTTTGATAAGTACTTTTAGTCAGGCACTAAAAAATTAGTCTTTTGCCGATCTGAGTTTAACAAGCAGTGGAGATGAGTGTAATAAACAACAATTTTTCTATTGATTATGATGTATTTGTTTTGGTCCCTGGAATGTAATAAGTGGCTGAGTTTATTAACCAGTAAGTTTAATACGTGGCAGTACTGTATTTGTCTTTACTTACACTATAAAATACTGTTTACATATTAAATTAGTTTTAATTTTATTAGTTTTTTATTAATACTAATTTCTTTTTTTTGGGGGGGGGATAATTTATACAGTCAAAAGTCGTTAATCCGGACTCGTCGGGACTTCGGCGATTTCGGATTATCGATTTTTCCGGATTATAGATCATCAGTTTAAATCTGGTAAGATGGCATGCAGAAATTACAAAATTAAAAATATGAAACCGTAATTTATGAAATAAAGAACAATTATGATCTAAAGGGTATCAAAATTTACAAAAACAAAATGCTTAATATTTATTTGTTTACTTTATTAAACATTTCTTTCAATGTAAGTTGTTTAAGTTGCTTCATTTCCTGTGACAATACTTTCCCTTTAATTCTATTAAACAGACATAATTTCTTGTTTAGTTACAAAGTTCCGCTGTTCAAGTGCTATAATTGCTGTATCGAGAATATCGACTAATTTGTCAATCGAAATTTTTTTGTTTTCAATAACCTCTGTGTCACTTTCTTCACTATCGGAAGCGAATTATAATGACGAGGAACTTGATTTAAATCATATCAAAGACTGAGTACATCCAGATGAAATACTACATTTAGTAAGGATTTATAAGCCAAATAAAATTAAAACATCTGCTTTGAAGATAAGGATAGTGCTGACAGATCAACTTCCAATTCATTGCGCACTGCGGCGTTTCTGCCCCCCCCCCCGCCGCACAGCAGCGTGAAATTGATAAACAGATTTCGGATTTCAAAACATACTTTCGTTTTGTAGATCCTTTACATATTAGTAAATATATATCGGAAATTCTATTTGACATAATCAAAAGTTCAAGCTCACTTTTATAAAATTGCTCTAACAGTCTGCAAAAAATAATAAGCCGGATCCTATTTGAAGATTAAAGAACAACGCAATCTGCAACATTAACTGAATTAGATAATTTTAGCTTAGCTTATACCGTCCGTTATACATTAAGCGCGCATGCGTAAACATATTATGCGCTTGTGCACACGCATATTCGCAGTCGTACAGGTCTTATGCGCACGTGTAAACGCCTATGCGCATTGATGCTAAAGCAAAGTTTAAAGTTTGAAAAAAAAATTAAACATTCAGCAGTAGTGGCAATAAAAGCTCCCTGAGATATGTTGTGCAGACATTGAAGACAATAAAAAGGTTTTGAACTTAACCAATTTATTAACAATATAATAAAGAATAAAAACACAGAAAATAAATTTCGACAATATCAGAGTCTTAGGAAAAATATAATACAACCATCATTCATCAAATAATATTTTTACCTGGTCTCCAAAACACTGGCATTCAATACAAACAAAAAGTCCTAAACAGTAATTATACGGCCTAAAAATGAAGCTGGCTACACATTCAATAAGTCCATAATCAATGGTTGAGAAAACACCTGAAAAATTTAAATGAAGTTCTTGAAAGCACTTAAAACCGGCCTAACTCCATTTGCACGAGGAATCGCCGTTCACGTGTTTTAAATGCCGCCTCATTGAAGAACATGGATGCCGCCCACAGCAGTCACTCATATGGTAGCCTATGGAACCAAGGAACTTTATTCTGGAACAATCATCTTATGGATGTGAACCAAGGAACTCATTCCGAAACAATCATCCCGCGGACAGGCACCAAGGAACTTTATTCAGGAACAGCCATCCCGCAAACCGGAACCAAGGCACTTTAATCACCGGACTGCATGCATCCTTCTGAAGGGGCTGGAAACCGCTCACTCAAGTGCCAGGAAAGCAGGAACTAGAAGGGGGTTGAGCCAGAGCGACGCAAGATACTTATAGCAGAAGTAGGAATGACGTCATCTCATGGCAACCAATCAGCTATCGGCACGAATCGGCTTTTCAGATGATGTAACATCACGTTTCGTTTTTGCATCTCAATTAGGTTGAAACAGTCCGTTTTCAATGCAAACAGTGGCAGCAAGAAAAAGAAGTAGAAGTAACTACTATATTACTTTAAAATAAGAACTAAACTAAATAAACATTTCAAGGAGGAGGGATGATGCAGTAAAAGGTTTAAAATAAGCTATATTTTCCAACACGCATGCGTCAATGCGACACATGCGCAGAAAGTTTGTAGCTTTGAGGTCCGGATTATAGATCATTGCGGATTATGGGTGTCCAAATTAACAACTTTTGACTGTATATTACTTTCTGACAGCAGTAAGACAGATGTCCTGGTTTATCAGAAAAAGTGGCAACCCTATGTGGAGTATAATTTAATTTAGTTGCAGGTAGTAAATTATTATTCAAAGCAAAAAGAACACATTATAAATAATAGAAAAATAAACATAATTAGAAATGAAAAATCTAAGTTATAAAGAACAGCATTTACAAGAGAATTTGAACAATATCATGGAGTTCAAATTCGCATAAAAAGTTGGTTATGAATTTTGTTCTTTTGAATAATTTTTTTTTCCTTAAAGATTTATGATCCTGTGAAGATCTTCTCACGCAACATACCGTCACTTTGTCCTTCCAAGTAATTGAGAAGAATTTAAAAATAAGGAATTACAACCATTAATTTTGGAATACAAGATTAATGCCTGCACAGTTGATTTATTTTTTTTGTTTGAGCAGTTTATTTTTAATAAATGATTTAACAATGTATATACAGTCCACATTAGCAACAGTTGTAGATAATATATCTCCAAAATATTTAAAAAAAAATCACTTGTCATCACTGCTATTATTCCAAACATTCATTTTCCACTCTTTGTATTTTTCATAAACAATTCTGCTTTATACTGAGGGTTTGCAACAGCAACTTTTCCATTGCTGCTCAATAAACAAACTTAAAAGAAAGTTGGGACTCATTTAATCTGGTGACTATTGCATATTTAGTGATTAATATATGTAATTAATTACCTCCTTAACTACATGATATGCTGTAGCAACTCCTTCTCTGATATCAGCTGGCTGATTACCATGTCTGCAAGATTCTTTTGATGTCAAGTATTTATATGCAACACTAGGTCCAGGAGAAACCATATCATATGCTATTTCTGCACAGCCCTAAAATTAAAAACAAAATTTTGAATACAAACATTCAAAAAACATGACAGTGACCATATGAAATTAAGAAGTCTTGTTGCACAACAATAATGGGTTTACTTGCAATTACATAATTATATATGTGTATATGTTACCATGAAAGACCGAAATAGGAGAATGTCAACATTCACCAAATATGTCGGTGAAAGATCGAATATTGAATTAAATTCTTGTACACTGCTCAAAAAAAAAAAAAAAAAAAAAAAAAAGGGACAGTGCTATATCTCCCGTTCTACTGGGCCGATTGACAAAATTCAAACTGCGTTTTTCATGTCTTGAAAGCGCGACTTAGGATATATATTAGATTTATATATAGCACTATTCTGACATAGGTATTTTGACACAAAATCGGACTTTTTCTGAAATAACATACCAATTTTTTTCCATATTTCGATTCTACGGCTCAAATTATGCCAGAATACCAAGTTTTGTAAAAATCGTACGAGTAGTTTTTAAAATATTAGCTCTCAAAATTTTAGCTCCTCAATGTTAATTGAATTGAATTCGGCAAATATTTATTAATATCTCTTTTTTTTACTAAACTTTTTTTTTTTTTCTCTCTCACATTTCGAAATTTAGGTTCATACCAAATAAAATTTACCCATTTTTTGCGTTTTATTTTTTTAAATTTTTATTTTTAAATAATTTTTATAAATTTTTCGAAAAAAATTTTGAATTATAACCTATAAAATTTTTTACCCTCATCATAAAGTAGGTGTATTTTAAGCATATCTGCAAAAAATTAGACTTTTTTATTCAAAATTTTCTAAGATATACACGAATTTACATATTTTCGCGTTTTGAAATTTGGCATCTTTTTTTTTGAGCGATAATGACGCCAAATGTGGTCTATGGATTTTTGTTACACTGAATTGCCACAGCTTTTTTTAACCTTAAATTTCAAGTAAAATTTTACGGAGAATTAATTATATGAAATTTTTTCCCACAATAAGAACGTAATAAATATTTATTAATACTATATGAAAATCTATTTTTTAAATTATAGATGATATTCAAATTTTTAACAATTTTTTTAAAATTTCTCTCTTTCAATCCTTTTTTTAAAAAATAAGAGTACGTTTTTCTAAGAGTAAATTTTTACCTTCGGCGTTTTATCGTCTGCTACTTTACTTCGTTTAAATCGAATTGTCTAAAACTGAGAATTTTTGTTTAATGTTTATTTGAATTTAATGAAAATATTTTATGACATTAACTGTATAATTTATTTCTAAACAAACTGTTGCTTTTGAAGTGGCTGAAAGAGCGGCAGATACTATCATCCATATTTTTAAAGCATAGTATATTTTTATAGAAATATAAGAATTTGAATAATCATTTTTATAAAAGTCAAATTATGATATAAACATACAACCCTGTAGAGACTGAATTAATGGAAGTTCAATGGTTATGTAGAAATGATCTGCAGCTAATTAATGGCTGGATAAGTCAGCAGATTCTGTGGACAAGCAAGAATAATTATATAAACGACACCCAACATTCTGTATTTTTGTATTTAATGTCAATTTAATCTGTAAAAATGTATTTTTGTGCATAGCTTATTTTCATTATATAATTAAAATTCTAATTTAGAATGTAATTGTCAAGAACTGAATCCTAATCATCAGTAATATAATAAGTAATTATTACGGTTATTAATAAATCCTTCTTATAAAGTAATTGCAAATATTTAAAAAAACTTTCTGTCTGAATGCAAATATTTTTCTATGCAAAATTTTTAATTTATATTAATCAAGATTGCACACGATATTATTTATTTGCACTTCAATTTTTACCGTCAGCTCTAGTAGAAGTTACAAATCAATTATATTTAATAAAGGATTGGATTGGATTATTTAATTATGGCAAAGCACACGAGGACTATCTGCCTAAAGCGAGGGATGCCTTCGTGGAGGACTTTCTAAGGTAAACTGGCTCATATACACGTTACACATGGGCAAAACCACTAAAATGCCCATGCAGCCAGCCTGTTCGCGGAATTCGAACTTCTGACCGAACTACCAGTGCTCAGCGTCTTTACCGCTCGGCCGCTAGTGGGTTATTTAATTAAGGAATGACCATCTAAATTTAGAAACAGCGTACCGTAACAGCAATTCAATTATTGGTGCCGTATCTTTCATGTTACTCATGTTACTTTCTGATTGGCATGTTAGCATGTTACAAGCTATATGATTTTTAATGAGTATTCGGGTTTTGCTAGTAACTTCATTTGGAAATCGCGCTTAAACTAGGTTAGTTGGTTATTTGAACATAGAAAGAATGTGGAGCTATTTGGTTAAGATGCTTTTCATAGAGAACCTTTGTAAAGAGAACTAGAAAACTAGAAAACTACGAAAACCAACCATGCAAAACCCTGGGTTAGACTTCGCAACAAACAGTTAGTATTTAACAATCTTCAAATGCTAGGCAACTGGTCAGGCTCCAATTAAATCTCCAATTCAATATTTTATTTGTAAATATTTAAAATATTGTTGTATACTTAGACATAAAAAGCAGAACTACCAAGCCGTAGTGCAAATGAATATTCATTTTCTTTTGCAATAATTGTATTCACTTAATATTCTTGGAATATGAGCTAAAGATGGAACGTTCTCGGAAGATTAAAGAAGTGTTTAAATCCAGTGATATAAGGTTTGTCTTAGAAGCTCAGGATCAAAACGATTCTGCAATTGCCCCATTAGTTGACTTGTAAATGGTTGTGAATTAAGCAGATGACTTTTAATCTTACGTTTTCAGTCAGACAATGTATTCCAAATGTTTTGTATTGCATGATAATGCATCTTTTCATTATTCAATAACCAGTCGGAGAACCGCTTGTGTTCCGAAAATAAGTATGTGTACTCAATCGTACTGCATGTTTTTCAAATTTGTCTTCTTGTGATTTTTTTTCTTTCCCAAAAACTAAAGTAGCCTCTCAAAGGAATGTTTTTTGATATTGAAGAGACAAAAGGAGTATGTCATCTACTTTTAGAGGCATATCAAAAACAGATCTCTACAAGCCTTCTTTTCCATTACATGTTGTGCAGTCAGACAAAAAGTTGCATCAGCGTAAATTCTATAATCTATTTTTATTACACTCTGATTACTTTACTAACATACAGTGAATATATACTAAATCTTTTACATCAGGTTAAGTAATTCGGAATTTTTGTCGGAACTACGACTTAGAAGATAGGTCATATTGAATATTTCGATAATCCAATAAATTGAAGGTCGAGGTTTCAATATTTTATTTTCGGAGGGAGGGGAATTTTTTTTAGTTTTGTTCCATTATCCTAAGTATATTTGCTTTGATTCTTTATTTTTTTCTATAAAAGCAGAAATCTTATGCATGGTATACTTATAACGCATAGCTTCAATTAAAATTTAATAATACACACAGGGTGTTTATAATTAAAGTTCCACATTGAAACGGTCATAAAACAAAAACTACTAGATCAAATGTTATCAAACCTGGTAATCGTGTAAAAGAGATCATAGGAATTTATTTTCCGTGAAAAAAGGGAAGTTCCAAAACCTCAACACCAGGGGGAAAATGGCGCTGTATGCAATATTTTTAAACGAAATATGGGTCGGAATCTAACTTAACCTTTTGTTACACAGGTTTAATATGTTGCATACCCTTAAGAAATTTTGAAGTAAGAAAATTACCATTTAAAGGCGTTAAATTCGATAAAGTCGAGTGCGCCATCTGTGTAAGTAAGAAATTCGTCCGTGAAAACCACGAATTAGCGATTAGAAAATGTGAGATCGCAAATCACTCGCACAAGTGCGTACAATCTGGAAATCGTTTTCTTACAGATCGCTAATTTGTAATTTTTGAAGCCTGAATTCGGCCCTAAAACATGAAGATACTGATTCAAAACGCTTTTAATCGATTTGGGCAAAAAAATCCCTCATGTTATCTATCTAGTTCCATTGCATTCTCCTACTGCATTCGATTGCATAGCAGTCATTCCACACCGTTTGGTGTGGAATGACAGCTAGTTTTATAACTGAACCATTTTTCTCTGAAGAACAGTCGACAGCTGGACCTACTGTGATTGCAGCTCATTTAGAGTCAATGTTAAAATGTTTCGTGATACATGAACTGCAGTAACGTGGCATTTTAGATACTACGATTTTTATGCATGGCTGGGCCTCACCTCACGTGTGTCGCACAGTTACTTAGGCAACATTTCACGAATGAAACGTCTTATAAACGCCAACACTTCCCCTCTTCCCACCAGACCTCAACCTCTGTGACTTTTAGCTATGGGGTTTTCTCAAAAGCACTGTTTATGGTGATAATCTAAACAATTTGGCAGAAATGAAAAATGTTAAACACTGACATGTCCGTAAAATTCCTCCCGATATGCTAAGAGCTGCTGTTGAGAATGCAGTAACAGGATTTAACTTGCTTTCGGAAAATGCTAGAAGCTACATTGAACATGCTTTGTAACACGTTTCGGAAAATATTAAACATATTTTAAACAGATGTTTTTGTGTCTTATTTCATTTAAGAATCTTGTATACAGCGTCATTTTCCCCCTGGTGATGAGTTTTTTTAACTATTTTTTTTTCCTCGCTGAAAATAAATTCTCATAACCTCCTTTACAAGATTCCCAAGTTTGATAACATTTGGTACGGTAGTTTTCCTTTTATGACCATTTCAAATTAGAACTTTAATTATAACCACCATGTAAATTAAACTTTGAAAAGTTTGACAGTTTGGTTCAAGTCCCAGCTTTAAAATATATATATATAATCTTTTATATTAATCCTCTTAGAAATAATGTTTTAAGAAGCTAATTTTTCTCTCGCGTTATAGATTGTATAAAAAAAAACATGATCTTTAATATGATTTAGATTGTTTCAGCCGATATAAGAATCGGGTTACTCGGTGGTACAGAATTAACCCTGCTGGACTGTTTTATTTCTTTGTCATTTAGCAAAAATCTTTT